AGGAATCGAATGGAATAGGTTTTAAGGCTCTATCTCTCATAGTTTCCGAGATAATCGCGAAAAACCAAAGTGCCAAAAAAAATTAATTTAATTCATCTTGTATAAGGCCTAGGAAGAGGAAAAACGCAATTCAATTGATTTCAGTGGACTGAGTAAACATTTACAATCATTCGATTATTCTGTTTTCAGCCATCGGATTATGGAAGCTACAAATGCGTCGCCAAAAATCCTCGCGGGGACACAGACGGCACAATTCGACTATACAGTGAGTACATACATTTGTGTTTACATACACTCGTGAATTGCGTTTGGAGGAAAATGGTTTAGCGGCTGTTTGTGATACTAATGACAAATAGTGGAGTTATGTTTGCATAAACTTGATTCAACACTAACACAGATATATGCGGGTCGTTAGCATATTTGGATACCGAATTCAGATGGAAATGGCCAACAATCACGGGGAAAAAAAATTTCTGGGTTCAGGTACCAGGATTTGAAATCGAGAACCCTGGGCTCTTAACCCTAGATTGTTTACCATATGAGGAAAACGCCGCGGCGCGTCGTTTTTCCTTAACACTCCGTTGGTCGCGCCATAAGCGCCGCGCCGACCAGCATAAATCGACATAATGATGAAAAATGAAGAGTGACCTAGATCGTATACTCGAAGAAGCCCCGCGAGGTTTTCAGTGTTATCCTTAATTATATATTCAAGCTCACAGTTACCATGTTTTTTCTGAAAATTCGTCTTATACTCGGTACACGGCCCGGAGTTGCGGAATAAAAATTTGCAAATCCAACAACTTATGATATCTTTGATGCATATTTTCATTGATAGGGCACTCTTCATTCATTAATCTAGACACTTTAAAATGAGATGTCAAATTTTTCAATTTTTTCTGAGGCTGTACTGCAGTGTAATTTAAAAAATCGCAACGGACTGTTAATTATCATTACCTCGATAACCGGGAAAATAAAAAAAAACAATTCTTTTAATTAAAATGTATGACAGATTATAGTGGTTTTAGAACAACATAATTCTCAAAAGACACCAGCCAGAAGGATACACTATCAAAATAATTCCCCCTCGATGCGAGAAGGAGTTTCTTTTCATTACGAAAAAACAAAAAAAAAGTCTTTCTCCCTGCTTTCATCCTTTGATCTCCGCTCCCTGAAATTCTTCAGTTCCGATCCCAGATGAATCCTCACTATCATGTACCCTCGACCAAAGTTTTTCCAGAGTCGCAAAGAGCGAAAGAAAAATAGCTGCTTGAAGCAGTCGATGGATCGGTCCGGTATCATTTCATTCTACTGCTAAAAAGGAACAGAACTAGCGTTATATCATGCACATGGCCCGGGGGTTTTCCTGAGTGGTTAAACGCATTAATACGTACGTGTGTGAGTTCTCCATTAGCCTGCATCGGTTTCCCGCATTAGCGATATTCGAATGAGAGTGGAAGCATTTAGCATAAAAGCCACAGCGGCAATGAAAGACCAGGAGCGAAAGAAATGGAGTCGGCATTGAATTCTTCTTTTGTTGCTGGCTCTATTTGCATTGGTGTTTCATTGAAACTTCATTTCGCAGTAAGAGGATCATTTGATCATGTGCCCTTTTAAGGGCCAAAGTGTCGCACGTGATCGGATTGGAATCTCATGATTGATGAAAAAACCGTCAACTTGTCCTAGATCTATAAAACATGAAATTCATTTTGAATATGTCAAGTGAAAATTCTTTGAATGTAAAACAGCCACTTTAAATGCAATTTCAGAGAAGTTTTTCACGCTGAAAAGTTTTAAATTGTTGGAGATTCAATAGAAATTAGAATTTCAAGGTAATTTTGCTCTAAAAATCAGTGGAAAGTATGAATTTACGTTAAAATGTTTATGAATGCAAAATTCCAATAGCAAAGTGTGGAAATGGAATGAATCGAATTATTTTTAACGTGAGCTTTTGGTCGATACTGATCCTGGAATGAATACGGCTAATAACGAGGTAAGATGGAAAAAAATGGTTGAAAATCAATTGATAATTACGTAATAGTAATCCGATAAAATTTGCAGATTCCAATTCTCAATTTCTGTCATTTATTCGATTCATTCTATCAAACGACAAGGATAGGAATCGGATTTATGGGTATTGTTTCATTATTCAAAAAAAAATCGAAGAGCTAAAAAAATTATTTTTTTAGCTCTTCCCACCCACTTTTTTTGCATTTTTTGAATTTTTTCTCCCTGAAATATTGATATTCCTCTAATACTTGAAGAAAAAAAGTGATTCTTCTTTCATTTCCTTTTCATAATGTGGAACACTAGCTTTTTTCAATTTTTAGGAAGACATGGAGAGATTTTTCTATTATCCGAATGAAATTTCGAATGACTTTTGTTTTGTGTGTTCATTTCGATCCCAAAAAAACCACATTGTAATTATCTTTCACATAATTCCTTTCCATTCAATGTTGTAACTTATGAATTAATGAGTAAATATATATATAATTAAAATAAGAGTAGATAAAATTAAATTAATCTAATTGTGAAGCTAAAAATTGAAATAAAATAAAATAAAATAGTATAAATTAATCTAGCGATGGGCACGAAGGGCTATAGTAAAGAAAAAATATTCCAGCAATTTACGTTTGCTCTGGAAAACGAAACAATCACTCCAATTCGTTAATAATTCAATCAACTTCTTTTCACATTTTCCCGTTCTGTGTCATTGAATCAATAAATATTTTCGTGATGCTGAAACACAATGCTTTTGTTTACCACTTGACGCATCTCTGGAATGCTCAATAAAAAGGACGCGGAATGGGCTGGGTAGGCTGCGGAGGGGCGGGGAGGAGGTACAGTAGAAGAGGCGACAAACGGCAGAGGCATATAGTGTTTATACGATGCAGGGAGTGAAAAGTCGTGTTGAGTTCCTGGCGTTGTTCTCTACAACACTCCAGATGTAATGTCATGTCATAAAACCACGTTGCCCCGGAAATTTGTAATTATTAGTCCTCGGTCACTGCTCAACAGTGGAGATAGTGAATATATAGGTGAATTCCTCTTGCAGCTGTAATTCGAGATGACAATGGATTTTTACGCGATTACTTACTCGTATTCATTAACATCCTGATGTTGTCTTGACACTTCTGCTAAATTTTATGTTCGTTCAACTGATTCGGACATTCACGCAGCTTGCATTCGGCCGAAGGAGAAACTACGCGACAAAAAAGTAGAGGAAATTCCGTTTTTTTTTAAATTTAAAGTGGTATAAATAATATCACTCAAATTGTGATGATTAAATAGAAATATTCTGGTTGAGTTTATGGTCAGTCTAGTATCATTGATAATGATTCATTTAGAAGCGCCAAAATAAGACAGAATCTTGTGAAGAAATGAACTCTTCCAGGTGCGGGAGACCATTGAAATCGCAAAAAAAATCTTGAAGAATCAGAAAATAAATGCTACGTCCAACATGAAAATTATTGTCACTTTTGTACTAAATGATGGTGAGTTATGTGCTTGCTCTGCAATAGAGAGAAAAATATTTCCGAATGGTCAGGATTGCCACTGATCGAAAAATCCCAGTCACATGAGAGATGATTGTTTAAAAAAATAATTGAAGAGTGAATTTGCTGGATTACTGATGAATGATTATTTTTGTGGGTAATTTAAATTTATTGCTCCCCGTTACACTTAACGACTCAACTGGAGTCTATTCATACTACTTTAATCTTTTTCGTTCCGTCCCAACACCCACTTTTTTGGAGCCGCCACGGGCCGACTTTTCCCCTAACCCCGTCGAATTCACCCCAGGAGATAAAATTTCAGCAGAAGTGCCACTACAAAAAAATTTCCAAGAAGTATACCGGCAATTTTAGCTAAAAATTTTCAACAGTCTAGAAGAAATGAGCTTTTCCACAGTATTTCCAGCACAACTGTAATCATGATCGACAATTCTTACGAGAAATCGGGGCAAAATCTCCCGTGACTCAATTGTATCCTGTGTAGGGTAGAGAGGTGCATGAGAATACAGTGAAAGAACTCATCCCTCAGATTTTCTCGGCGTTTTTTTTTATCCAAAGACAGCCTTAACAGTTGATTGCCGTAGGAAATAACAGAGTTACTCTCAAAATTAAGTGGTAGAAGTCAGAGATATGCCAGACAAGTTTTATTGAGAAGCATAAAAAAGAGATTTGTAGTTCAAGTGAGGGGAGATGAGAAAGAGCGTTAAACCCGCTTGTCCCTTGTCTCCTGCTCCCCCAGGTCCCAACTGCGGCAGAGGGATTGAGAAAGAATGAGATGGCGGATTGGGGAAAGATATGAATTTATCATTAATGTCACTGACGGGACAACACTGACTCAACTCTTCATCTCCTATTCTGGTCGTTTATCTTTCGCTCAAAAAATCCTTACATTCTTGGATATAATCCCAGAAATACATAACTGCCGTTTACTTTTATAACTTTGAAAATGGAGCACTTGAAATAATTCAAAAGCTTCAAATATTCCCGTTAAAAAAATCAATTTAAGTTGATCCTTGTGTTCATTTCGTACTAAAAATTAAATCATTTTTGCTTTCGAATGGAAATTTTGTAATCTTTCAAATTTTAGTTGCCAGTTTTTTGTGCCTTCAGTCTTTTCTGAATTTTTTTAGAAATTTTCCCATAAGCGATCGAATTAAATAAGTTTTTTCATCAATACAGACTTCAAAATGGAATCAATAATGACTCACAAAATTACTATCAATACCCTCTTGATTCTATCAGCATAATGTGATAAATTAAAATTAAAATTTATCATAGTATTATGACATGATTAAAAAGAAGAGGAGAATGGCAAAATAAGGATTCAAAGAAAAGAAAATTCATTCGGAAACAATTGCTAACTTATTAGCAACAATAACTATATCCATTTACAAAAAATGCAATTATTCATTTGTTTTTTATTCCTGTAGTTTTACTGAAGATATATATATTTCTATCAAAATTGAATGTTTGACCTTTCTGCGAATCATAGAAATATAAAAACTCACGATAATATTGAAACTGTCAAATTATATATGCAAGTAAATTCCTCCCTTTGCACCAGAAGTTGATAAAAATTGAAAGAAAATCCTAAAAATTCCTTCGTCCAATTTCTGTGCGTTCTCATTGAATTTCAAATAGTCTTCTTAATTAACGATTCACATGAAAAATTGTAGAGATATTTTCGCTTATGAATTCACTCGACCCCGAGCTGATTACAAATAAATGAATGACGCAAACGCCCCAGAAATCACGT